TAACGGTGAAGTTGCAGATTGCAACCGACTGAATACCCCTCGCTTTACAAGCGTGTAGGAGCGACTACAGTTAAATCTTTTATTTGACGGGTCTGTAATTATATAATCTGAGTTCTTGTGTCGTCTGGCTGCGAGGGAAACAGAGACAAAGCTCTGAGACAGTTATTTGAGTTCAGTTTATGAGTTTTAGAGGAATTTACTTAAAAGTCGGGGCTCCTCCGTTTCAATAAAAGACCATTAAAGAGCTCGGCTCGATAAAAAAAACATGACGAATATGAATAATTAAAACATTTTAGGTGTCTGTGGGTTGGAAGTTGAGGATAAACTCAGACTCAGACTGAGTTCTTACTCACAAACTGTATTTAGTTCTTTTGAGCGACTTTGATTTTAAGACGTGTCTCAATGAAGACTGAATGTTACAGGACCAACTGAATACAGCTCACCTTAAACATGTTGGTTTGTCCTTTACAGGCTCCTGTAGAAACTTTGGGGGATTATTAAGAATTATCTGGATGCATATTCAGGCTTATGATGAATAATAAACAGAATTACATTTTAAAAAGTCCTCATCTATAGCATTTTAATGACATAAAGTCAACTTAAATAAAATCAGAAACATTTTATTTTAATTCGTGACTCCAGTTTGTTTGGAGGATTAATTTATGTTAACTTCCTGCTGTTATTGAGACATGTTGTCCGGTTTTACAGTGAACGTTTGAGGCACCTGTTTAAATGGTTAAAGTTAAAACCACGACACAGAAAACTGCCGACCTTCTTTTAAGATCTTCTGTCATGACGCCCTGCAGCAGTCTTTCATTTCCAGAATAGCATCAAGCACTTATTCACTCCTCAAACCCCCTTTGGTTATTTTTCCCTACATGAATGCACAACATTATATTCAATGAACAAACTCTACTCAAGATAATGATTACCAATTGATACAGACTCCAACTTTGGACTTCCTATCTTTAACATTCCTAGAAAGGCTGCTTTTAATCTTCAGAGCTCCAAATATTTGAACAAAACCTGCAAAAGATCCTTAAAATGACAATTTTTATGCCCAAAATTGATGCCTGTACTTGTAATAATTTCTATAAACATCCTCCTGAACGTTAAAGTACAACCTGACTGGGTTTGTGTCTGTAGATCTACACACCTCCTGCCGACAGACAATGGGAACGACTTCCCACTATGTGCTTAACGTGCCCAATTACACACACAAAGAGGCTGCTGTTAATCCCGCTTACTGTATTAGCAGTGTCACCGATCGCAGTGACTCGGCGTTCTTCAGACACGTGTGCGCGGCACGAGCTCCAGCGCGCAAATCTGCTGTAAGACATCGCAAGAGCTGCTGTCATTCACTCGCACCGTCACTCACCTGAAGAGTGAGTAAAGAGGTGGATCACCTTTAAACCTGTAGCTCCGGTTTAATGCGACCTGCAGGCGGTCCATCCAGGATCTGCAGGTTGTTTTTTGGGGGGTTGTTGCAGCCTACAATGACCTGATTTCACTGCAGATTTTCTTTAAAAAAAAATGCAATTAAACTGCGTAAGAAACTGAAAATTTTACAAAAAGTTGCAGTTTTTTTCAAATTAGAAATTGAATGCAAAATGTTCCAGTGAGAATAAAATAGCAGTTTGGTGACTTACAGGAAACTACAATGATTTTGCAACATCACAACTTCCTGCAAGGACTGAGAAATAGAAACAAAAATATATATTTACCCAGAACATTTGGAGTTTTATTTTGAAGTTGTCAGCCTCCGCCAGCATTTTAGATCATATTCACTTCAAGAATATTAAGTTGTATGAACATGTAAACAGTAAATACATCAACAGAGAGAACGGCGCCTCTCTTATAACAGTGAAAATATTGTTAACAGCGAGTTGATTGTGTTTAAAGAAGATTTCTGTCCCGATGAAACATTCACTCGACACAACATTTTGTATCATTAAGAGTTTCTGAAACCCAAAAGAATCAGAGAGTTCATGGTTGACTGATCTAAGTTAAGTTCGGTTACAGTTTATATATGAGATTATAAACATTAACAGCTGTTCTCTATATAAAGACAGAGTCACATGGTGTCTCTCTCCCTCTGCCTGTGTTGTATCGCAGCCTCTCTGTGGTTTGCTTACATAGCTGGTCTGCTCCGACTGAAACTGCTGTTTTTATCATCTACGTCTGTGAATTAAGGATTTATTTCCACCAGACCAGAGTTGGTGATTGTTGGAAACACTAACAGAGACGCTTTTAATGAGTTTCCTTTTTGGTTTAAGATGCTGGTGGAAGTACATTTTGTATATTAAATCTTTAAAGTTGATGGTTTTAAAGAAGGCAAACACTAATTTCCAGTCTGTACTGAACCTCAGTTCTGCAAGGCAAAGACATAAAACTTATTTAAAAATTAAAATACTCTCTGTTAAGTCAGAATTATTGAGATAATAAAACTCTCTCTGCATTTCCTGGAAGTTTGGTTCTTCAGACAAAAAACAAAACCAAATGACAAACAATTATTTTTATTTATGTTCAAACACGTGTAGAAAAGCAAGAACAATTCACCGTTTTTGAAATATTAAACAATAAAACAATATCTACTGAAATAAAAAGTGAAATGTTTTAGATGGCAGTTGATTTACCAAGTTCCCTTCTAAATTATTCTGTCAGTCTTCACGATTGACGGACTGTTTAACTACAGTTTAATCCTCCTGAAATAAACTTTTTAGGGAACCTGGACTGACATCTTCCCCTGAGAAAGTCAGACATTTGGGTTTTCATCATGTCACAGCAGCAGCACCAACAAACAAACTGCTCTTTTTAATGAAAATATGTCCAATGATCAGATGAAAAGAGATATTTTTGTTGAATGAAAGATGCACTGTTGTCTAAACCAAGAGCTAAATTCATTGGGTTGATGGATGAAAACAGCCTCTTAACAGCTGTGACATGATGCTGGTTAACCGAAACTCTTGCCTCTAACACAAAACAACAAACCAGGAAGCACCTTCTTTAGTTAAAGTAAAAATCAGTCAGAGTTCCACAGCAAGAAAGCATCACACTTCTTTCCTTTCAGATGATTATTTTTTATGTTTGAGCCCCTTAAATAAACTTAAGATATACTTTAAGCCCTTAAAATTACTTTGTTGTGGTGATTCTGGCGCCCCCTTGTGGACAAAATCAGTCGTGTTTATCTGCCGTGTTTCATTGATCTCAAGGGGAATCCGACCCGGTGGCAGACGTTAAAAGATTATAGAGAAATCTTCTTTCTGATGGTTTGTTTATGAGGGTCATTTAAAGGCAGTCAATGTTAAATTCAAGGCTTAAAAACTCACATTACACTTTGTGTCCGTTATTGCGTTCAGACTGACGTGTTTGAACACATCCGCTTAAGCAAACACTGAAAACACAAATGCTTCTGCGTCTTTGGACATCGACTTGCAGAGACTTGAAACGAGCTGCAAACAGATAATCCGTCACCTGCGTGCTTTTACATTGGTCCAAGTGAAATTATTGTTCTTTAGAAAAATGCAACGACACAAGTTTGATTACAATAAACCGTGATAGATGATCTCTCTGCAGCGAGTCTCTGCAAGCAGCCGGTAAAAACTACATCAGTAAACACTGGGGAAAAGTCAGCAGTAATGTGCAGATATGTGAGTTAATAGGCTAAAACATATAAAACAGATAAAGTCCTTTAGCATAAATGTTGACTCTGATACATTCCCCTATAAGACGACATACAACTTGTTACAAAACATCATGAATTATAAATACAAGTGCTATCAAGGTGTAACAAGGCAGGTAGTGATTCATATTAAGCACAAAATATCTCATAATTTTGACATGAATGGCAAAGTGTTACAGTCATTTAACATAAGCACTAAGCTAGCTTGTTAGCTGCATCCTTTAGCTTTAGCTACATTAGCACAGACAGCAGTTTAAACATGTCATAACTATCTTCATTACATTTTTAACACAATAATATGAGTCGTAAAGGTTTAGTGCTCTTTCTATCTGGAAAAATAGACATAAACCAGTCAGGATAAGAAACTTTTTCAACCCCATCAATGTTTCTAAGATAAACAATGTTATTTATTTACACGTAAATACATCTATTATTAATCCTCATTCAACTTCCATTCCCTGCTACATATTGTATGCACACAGTTTTTTTTGTTTGTGCTACCCAGCTGACAGTATTAGCCTGGCCACCGCTAAAAAGTGATCTAACATTACAGATGTATTTAAGGGACAACTGGATACAGCGTTGGAGGCAGGTTAATTAAGCTGCTCAGTGGCGCATGAAGTCAAGACTACCACCGGCCAAGTCGCTAACTTCCAGTTTAGCCCGCCACTAGCATGAAGGGGACAAAATGATTTCATTGTTTAGTTCTTTTAGACTTTTCAAACTGTCGGACCGAATGGATCAAATTCAGATAATAAAACGAGTCCGTTTGCGGGGGTTGTGTCCACTGTTGTAAGCTTATAGGAAATGTATTATGGTGCCCCGTGTGAGGCCACATGAAAGGAGGACTTTTCCCCCTTTACTACAATAACGTAGCATCTTTCTGGTAAATAAGGCCTTTATGAATTCTTTTACTGACCAAAACTCTTAGGAGGTACATAAAAATATATAATTATTACAACTTCCCATTACTTCAAATACATTCTGTTATAGGTATATTCTTTTAAGGTATGGACACTCTTCTACCAAAGGGTAAAACTGAATGAAAACACTTTCCGCCATGTCATTAGTTCCCAGTAGGAAAGACATCTGTTCTCATTGCCATGTTGTGTCGTATAAAGAGTGAGAAAGTCCGTGTAAGGAGGTGTTTGGGGTCAATGGATGGGTCAAACATAGGACTTGGAGACTGTGGTTTGTGTTTAGGGATGGGAACTGCTACGATTTAAGGGGTACCTTGTAAGACGCACGACGAAACTGTGTCGGACAACCTGGGATGAGAACGTGCTGAATATATTTCAAATGTAATTTAATGGTCAACATAATTGAGGATTATAGCAACTCAAACTGAAAGTTGGAATTAACATATGACATTCTACAGGTCGCATCCAATTAAAATGGTTCCACTCAAAACTGATGGAAACGCCGGCTGGTTTGCTAGATACCGCCAAGAATCTTAAACAGAACTGGTTCAAGCACCAAAACTACTTTGGTAGAAAATTAGCCTGCATCAGCAACATATTTGGTATCAGTTTGGTCCCTTGGTAGAATTATAGTCTTGTTTCCTGTTTTCCGGAGTTAGTTTCCAATCAGAAGCCATAAGTAAGCAAAAAGGCTAAAAACTCTCTCACTGAAAACTAAAAGTTGCTGCTGACAGACACAATTTTTAACATTTTCAGTATTTTTTAAAAGGTTTTCAACTTATGAATTAGATTTGACCAGTCTGTAGCTTTTTCTTTCTGGAGTAATTTTTTTAATTGAAAAAGCTCCAGAACAAGGCAGTCAGTGTTAGTGTTAAGTGTGCACTAAAACAATACATCAGCCTGAGTTTAACCCATGAAGGGGATTAATTTGTAGTTAGCTAACGGTGGGAAATGAATCCAGAACTGCTGTTTTCTGGTATTATAAAAGTATGTTTTGACACTCTTGATTCAAGGCCTATTTATGCTGCTTTTTCAACCTGCAGATTTCTGTCAGATCTTCTATGTTTGAGTCCTGGTGGTTAGTTGAAATGAGCAAATCGTTGACATTACATGATGAGTTTCAAACCTCCGTTCTGCAGAGCCTGAGAGAAGTGCGTTGTCCAAACTCTATTAGAGTTTTTGGAAGGTCTTCATGTCGGCGGCGGCCCGTTGACGTACCTCAGCGTCAGGTGGAAGCTATGACGCCACCTGCTGCTGCGGTGACATGGTGGCTCCAGGACCCAGATCAGACAGACCAGGAGAACCAGAGCTGCAGCCAGGAGGAGGCAGAGGAGGGCTGGGGAGAGCAGGGAGGAAGGGGCTCTGCTGCTGGAGGTCACGCTGCAGAGGAGGAGGAGGAAGAGGTGTTAGTGTTTTGTTTGACTGCTCAACCTTGTCAGAAAACTCTGGAAATTTAACCCTTAAGAACATCTACCTCATGAGTTACTGGAGCCAAAAATCTGTGTTTTTAGGTGGAACTGAAGCCAAAATTGGAATAAAGGTGGTATAAAGGTTCGTAAAGCAACATTTTACTCTCTTAAAAGGTACAATTTGTAATTTCTGCCACTAGAGAGCATAAAAAACATAAAAACAATAACAAAAGTTCGATAAAGTGGTGAAGCAGCATGGGATCATAGGAGTTGCTGTCTTTACCCGGTTAGGATTTCTTCAGTTCCACCTTAAAAATCACTGCTTCTCCCACGCTGTTGGACAGACAAAGGACGTCCCGGAGGGGCTGCGCGTCAAGCTGCTGCTAACGTTAGCTCAGCTTGTTTCTCTGATAACTTAACGCTTTTAGTTTAAAGCTAATGTTAGCTAACTTAAGATGTGACTATACATGAGTCTCTTTTATCTTTAAAGCATCTTCAAAATGTGTTTCTCTTTTCAACATAGATTAGCCTAGCACGTAGCATCAAGTATAGGAAAGGAGGAGGTGACTGAGGCTTGCTCAACTGTTTTTTGCAATGCAACACAGTAAACTGAATATAAACAGTATTCCTGTTAATTATCAAATAAAAACCATGTTAGTTGGCCTTCTCATGTTTTTCTCTTCTTAAACATAAAGCACACTGTTCTGCTTATCTCTGTGGTTTAAGAAACATCCTGCGAATTACAGCCGGTCTATATCTCTGAGGGTTTCTGTGTTTTCTCACCTTTGTTCGGAGAGAAGACGCTCAACTTCTTCACAACAGGACGGCTCTTCTTCAGCCTGAAGAACAGAGCGCTCCTGTTAACCCACAGTGGTTTCAGGCAACTCTTCTTACGTTCAAATGCAAACTTTTAAAGAAAATATCTGCACAGAGATTATTTCTCCCTTTCGGGCATCAGTGGCACTACTTCTTATTACTACAACTTATCTAAAAAAGGTGCTGTGTGTGTTATTTTCCATCGATAAATCAATACCACATTAATATTTGACACTTAAATTACTGTGAAGTGATAAAATTGTCTGGCAGTCTCAACACTGTATAATGTGTCACAACAACAACGTCTGCAACCAAAAAACACAAACATCTGATTTATCTTGTTTACCAGTAAAATCCAAGATAACCATCACTCGATGTTCTACAAGTAGAGTGCAGTAAAGAAACGCAGTTAGTGCAGTAAAGAAATGCAGTAGAGTGCAGTAAAGAAACGCAGTAGAGTGCAGTAAAGAAACAGTAGAGTGCAGTAAAGAAATGCAGTAGGGTGCAGTAAAGAAACACAGTAGAGTGCAGTAAAGAAACACTGCAGTAAAAAAGCAGTAGCAGTAAAGAAACAGTAGAGTGCAGTAAAGGAACTACTGCAGTAAAGAATTAGGACAGTCAAAAGAAATGCAGTAGGATGCAGTAAAGAAATGCTGTAGAGTGCAGTAAAGAAATGCAGTAGAGTGCAGTAAAGAAATGCAGTAGAGTGCAGTAAAGAAATGCTGTAGAGTGCAGTAAAGAAATCTGTAGAGTGCAGTAAAGAAATGCAGTAGATTACAGTAAAGAAATGCAGTAGGATGCAGTAAAGAAATGCTGTAGAGTGCAGTAAAGAAATGCAGTAGAGTGCAGTAAAGAAATGCTGTAGAGTGCAGTAAAGAAATACAGTAGGATGCAGTAAAGAAACGCAGTAGATTGCAGTAAAGAAATGCAGTAGGATGCAGTCAAGAAAAGCAGTAGAGTGCAGTAAAGAAACACAGTAGAACTCACCAGAGGCTCTGATCGATAATGGTGCTTCATCCAATCACACAAGGGGTTTAGGTCACGTGACTGTGAAGGGACGGGGTCAGGAAATGGCTGTTGAGTGTTGTCATGGTGACGTTGGCTTCCTTCAAGGTAAAACTAACACAGAACAAGCAGATAAATACAGACATCTGTCTGAAGGTAATGAAATCTAATTAGTGAGTGAGTGTAAAATCCTGATTTCACCCCATCTATAAATATATGTTTAATATGTGACAGACGAGTCAGTTGCCAAATACAGCAATTTTCTCTCCTCTCATTGTGGTACATCCAGAGCTGATTTTATGTCTTCTGGAGGAAGTCCAAGTCTTTCAGGTCTCTAAATACCGACTATGAAAAATTGTCCTCTTCAAGCTGCGTTAAGACTAATTTTAGTCCTTTCATTACATTTAAGAGGATTTGTATTCATTGAGGAAAACGTTGTACAACAAGTGTTTTAACTTCTTCACACTAGATACTTCTAACAACACGTTCTCACTCCCAAATCGGCAAATACTGCCGCTTGGTGAGTGGCCTTCGCTTCAGAATACGTTGCTGTAGGTGTCCCTGTAGGGAAATTTCTCAACAGGCCATGCTCTGCGATCAGGTTAGCAACCAAAAATAAGCAACGTCCGGTTACACTCTTAAAATAAAGCGTGATTAATATTGTGAAATGGTTACAATTTGAGTTCAGGAGAAGATTGTAAGTTACGTTAAAGTACTTGATTGAAACACAACTTATGTAACGTACGTACAGAACGAGGAATGTAGATTCAGTCGCTGTGTTAGGAAGAAATCACTTTACAGTGTAGACAAGACGAATGATTACAACCAGAGGTTACAAAAAAATTCTTGATCAAGTAGCTTTATTCATTTTAAATGACACTGACTTAATTTTGTAATTTTAGTTTGTACTGTGAGATAAAATACCCAGTAAAGAGTCAGTTAAAACTAATCAAGAATCTGACCTCTGACTGAAGGAACGCTAAGCTGCATGACATGAAACTACCAATCACATTTATTTACTTCTTAGTCGAAGCTGCCAGATTCCGATTAATCCCGCCCACTTTAACCTCTACGTCCAGCTTTTCAAGGACATTTTCCAGGAGTTTCATCTCACAATGGTGGTCAGACTTTATGGGACATTTCAGCTCACTTTTGTGGCTGTTCTCACCAAAGCCAATATTTTCCGCTGCGACAGTTGAACTCAAGTCAAATGTATATTATTTTACAGAAGATTTATCTTTTAACTTATTAGCCTGTTAAAAGAAGAGGTAGAACGTGTTGTGCGTACAATTACCAATTATCAACCACAAAAATGTAAATCTGATCATTAACAGGCTGTAAGAGTGTAGATGTGACCGTCTGCAGCATTTCCAACATCGATTTGACGCCCAAAGTTTGCTGCAAGTGGTGCATCCAGTAAACTAGTTTTGAAAGGTTCATACCTCAGTTTTTCTTACCAACAGCCGAGTTTCAAACAAAATACACACTCCAGAATTCATTTCCAACATATTTGGTCATTTGAATCAATTTCCATGACTGGAAAACTAGTCTTAAAATGTTCTGATTTTCCAGGAACTCTCGTCTGACTAAAACAACACTTGCCGGTACCGTAACCAAGCTGTATGTGCCAAAAGTGGTCCATATTAGGCCCAAATAAGTCTGCAAATGAGTCACATTTGGTGTTTGGTCCACGATGTATCTGACAAGAGTCTACAGATATTTTCCAGACGTTGATTTTAGCAAAAACTGGGCACAATTTCACCAAAGATGCTTCAAATTAAAATCTGACAGTTTGTTCTGCTCTCAGTCTCTCAGATTGAGAACGAGCTGCTGTAAAAACATTGATTAAACTTTTGATTCTCTCCTCCGCTGCTCTCAAATCTGGACTTGCAGGTTGATTTCTTGCTCCAATTTGTTTTGTTCTCGCTCGATAGTTTTGTCAGTAATGAACCTCCATTAGAAAGTGCCAAAGCTATTACGCACAAACACACGTTCAATCAAACTCGCATATTGCCAAATGTACGTGCAATCTGTCGACAGATTTCGACCCTAAAAAACTTTTACTGTGACACTTTTCTTTAACTGGTTGTGAGTCAGAAAAAACTGAGACGAGGGAAGGAGGAAGTAAACAGGAAGGAAGGAAAGGAGGAAGTCGTCGTGTTTCTCTCCCGTTTTTATGGCGACAGTTAAAGTGCAGCCAGACTCGATGCATAAATCAAGACTTTATGGATTCATTCGGCGGCCCGAGGACCGGCGGACGAGACGGAGGAAGAGGAGAATAAATAGACGCTCTCACCGGTAATGAGAGAGGGAGAGAAAATGAAGGCTAAGGCCAATGAAGTCTGATGGAGAGAGAAACGTCAAGGCAGATAGAGGACAGTTATTCAGGAATCCATCTTTACAAAAGGTGGCTGTGCACAGGAAAATAAAGCCTGATGATTATGAATGTTGATGGAGATCCTGGTGAGAGAGGATATCACTCAGTGTGTGTGTGTGTTTGCTTTACAATGCTATAAACTGAGAAAGATAAACACAGACAGTGTGTGTGAGAGACGCTGGTATTAATTACCTTATGGGGACACGATTCTAAACACACACTGTGAGGACACATCTGCCATCCGGGGACAAAAGTATGGAAGTAAATGACAAATACATGTGTGTACTGCTAAGACTGCTGCAACATTTGAGAGATTTGTAAGAGCAGAATTAGACTTGTGTATGAGACCGAAAGAGGAATTGTGTGACTACATGTGAGCGATCAACTGAGCTTCTCTGGCTCCTAATTGTTAAAGCTGCTCGCTCTCAGTTTTGGCACTCTGAGTGCAGAATGTAATACATTGATCTCAAACTTTGAGGGCCCTTGACAGGCATTGGAAATTAGCTGTAGCTATAAACACTGTGATACATTGCTTGTTGAGTGATTGTGATTCAATTCTAAAAAGCTGTATCTGTTGCTATCAAATGAAATGAATGAATAGAAAATAAAACTGCCAGTCTGGGGGCCATTTCCTCAAGATTATGTTTAAAAATTAGATTTAATTCTTGTTGTCATTGTATAATCAGGTTAAACAACAATTAAAATAACACCACAATTCTATTTTTCCCTGTTTTGTTTGGCTAAAATAACAGCAAAAGTCAAAGGTTCCCTCAAATGCATTCAAACGGTTCACTGATATAAAATGATGATATAAGAAGGAATAGAAACAGCTGCTGGATACATTAAATATTACAGATACAGTACAGTTAGGAAAATAAAATAATTACTGTACAAAAAGAACTTTATTCTCTGATTTTGGTGCAACTGAACAATAAAATAACGAGTTTTATATATATATATATATATATATATATATATATATGTAACGAGACAGACAGCTTTACTTGTTGCTCAAGTAACCGCTGCTGTTATCTAGTTAGCTCAGTCAGCGATGTAACTAGCACTCCTGACTCCGGATTGGTATCTGAGCACCGGGGGGAGTAAATGGTAAATGGTAAATGGACCTGTACTTGTATAGCGCCTTTCTAGTCTTCCGACCACTCAAAGCGCTTTTACACTACGTGCCACATTCACCCTTTCACACACATTCACTCAGTGATGGCAAAGTCCATCGAACAGAAACTAACATTCATACACACTCACACACCGATGCACGGCATCGGGAGCAATTCGAGGTTCAGTATCTTGCTCAAGGATACTTCGACATGTGGCACCAGGAGCCGGGGATCGAACCCACGACCTGCTCTGCCTCTGAGCCACAGCCGCCCCGAGTCTGTTGGTGTTCCCTGCTACAGGAGGAGGAGGTTAGGACGAGGAGGAGGAGGAGGAGGAGGTTTCCATTTTCGTGTCCTTTTAAAACTTGCTAGTAAAACAAGTAGCTAGAAACAAGTGTGTGATATATAAATATATTGATTTCACCCTCTTAACTCATAAACCTGCAGCTGAACGCTCTCAATCGTTGACTTTCAGACACATTTTCAGCGTAGCTTGCAAATCTGTTTTGCGCTCATTCAATTATTTTGTCATCCACGTACTTCCATAACAAAGTTGGTCTCCACAAGGTCAGAAATTTACTCAGTGAGAGAGCGAGTGAGCGAGTACGTGAGAATGTCTCTGGAGTCAGATCAGGAGTTTTCACACACACAGATGATGTTCATGTGATACCATGTGCTGGATGTTAATGCTGAACTCTGCAGGAAAACAAAAAAAGAAGCCATACGAGACGATAAAGCTGGTGTTATTCTATAGTAAAGACCCAAATCAACCACGTTAGTCCATCCCTTAATGCTGTCTGACTTCCTCTTTGTGGCACCGAGCTCATTGGTTCCTACTGGAAATATAAAGTCTAATGTTTTAAAAAAAAGGTTCAGCCGCTCGTTGTAGTTTTTATCAAACAAACAGCGGGACAGTTTAAGTGACTGAAGTTGACTCCACCCACCTTCACCTCGCCGTCCGTCTGCACCGCTTTGGAACAGGAAGTCTTCCTCTCTGGAGGGGCGGGGCTCTGATCTCCAAGCCACGCCCTCACACGCCCGCCGTCAAAGCCGACCGGCTCGCTGTCCTGTCTGTCGGGCGTCGAGGTCGCCCACTGGTCTCCGCTCACCCGGGTCCCGCCGCTCTGGATCGCCACTGGCGAGAAGACACGGGTGTGGGCGTGGTCAAACCATCCGTCCAATCGCTGCACAGAAACCTGATAATAAACAGGAAGTGAATCATTAAATTAAATCACATCACATAAAGTAGATTGAAGCTAAAAACTACACAGTGAAGTTTATCAGTGGTTTCCAACCTGAGGGTCTGGACCCCCACTAGGGGTCGTCAAAGCATCACAGGGGGTCATGAGGTCTTCTTGAGGGGTGTAAGAAAACTTTAAAACAGTATGTCTGTATCTCAGCACTTTATTCATTCCAGGGAGGAAACGTTTATTAATTTAACTTACTTTTTTTTAAGGTTTGATTTTTATTTCAAATTTATAAACTTTATTATTAGAAATGATAAAAAAAAACATAATACAGACAGAAAATAGTGTAAAAATATCAGGAAAACTCATCTCTGATTGACACAAACTCTCTCTCAGGTGTTTTGTATTGTTGTATTGTTGTTGTTGTTGTTAATATAAAATAATAATAAAATATAGTCAGATTACGCTGTGATAGAAAATAGGTCCCTTAAGGTATCAGGTTGGGAACTACTGATGTAAATATTGTACACATGATGTAGTTAATAAGCTAAAACATGTTAAAGGCTCGAAGTCAAAGTGGTGAAGCGTGAAATAGACAGGTTTAAGGTGAGAGGTGGCGGCGGCGGCGGCGGCGGTGGCGGCACACATAAACCACTGCAGGCACGTCTTTTGAGTTCAGAATTCACGCGGCGTACAAACAACCGGAGACGAGGTCACACGGTCGCAGATTTAATGAAGTACAACCACATGGAGTCCTCCGGGCAGGCGGCAGCGAGCCCTACGGGGGAGGATGGCGTGCTGACATCACGCCTTTATGAGTCGGATAATAAATAAGATAAAAGAATAAAAAAACAACACTTTGATGTGTTTGCTGCAGCTGCAATCAGATGATAATTCAGTTTTACGTCTTTGTCTCTGTTTGTCTCGTCCTGTTGAGCTTCAGGGTTCACCGACAGTGCAGAGAGGAGGAGGAGGAGCAGGAGAAGGAGGAGGAGGAGAAGGAGGAGGAGAAAGAGGAGGAGGAGAAAGAGGAGGAGGAGGAGGAGAAGGAGGAGAAAGAGGAGGAGGAGGAGAAGGAGGAGGAAGAGGAGGAGGAGGCAGCTGCAGCAGAAGACGAACACTCTGTTTATCCCCAAAATTCAATTGACGCCAGTCTTGTTTTTCCACCTCTTTATTTCAGTTTCTCTCCGCTGACACACACTCCCCCACTTCCTCACCTCGCCAAAATAAAAGCTAAAAAAAACAAACAGAAGACGCACAGAGGCGCCTGCAGGCGTCATCAATAAATCAGCAGAAGATAACCAGCGTCACTTTTAGATAGCTGGTGTATTGAAACATCAGTGTGTGAGACAGACAGACAGACAGACAGACAGACAGACAGACAGGCAGGCAGGCAGACAGGCAGACAGAGCCTCTGGGCCATGAAGCATCTGGGTCAGAGCAGAACAACAGGAAAACAGAGCGTGTTCACTGAAATTAGACGGTGTGGTTCACATTTAGGCGACGACGTGGCGTCAGTTCAGCTCCTCTTCGCTAATCTGTCAAAATAAATAAGGTCAGAAAGAGACGCTGGAAGGCAGCGGGACCAAAGGATCAGAGGACTGTTGCTACACGGACCAGCGGCTCCGACCAGGACTCTGGGGAAGAAGACTCGGAGGGTTCAGGCAGCGACAATAAAGATGATAATGAACTCTGCTTTGTCCATTACGCTCTAATAATGAAACACCTTAGAGAGAATGTAGTCTTAAAGCCAAGATGCATTAATGTTTACATCCCAGCCCAAAAATAAAATCTCTCTCCTCGTCTTCTTCCCCAAATGTTGATGTTAACTTTCATCAGGACGAAGAAGAAAAAGAAGAAGATGTTCGTTGTAAACTCACCAAATCTGTTTCCTGATTGTCGTTGCTGATGTTCGACTGAGAGCCGAGGGAGCTGAGGTAGCTCCGCCTCTTCAGACACAGACCTACACACACACACACAATAAAACAACTTATATTCATTATAGCAAACAGGTGTGAAACCAGGTGTGACACCAGGTGTGACAGGAAAGTTCAAGGGAAGTTTCCTGCGGATGCTAACTGTTGTCTGGAGGTGAAGTTCACTTCCTACCGGCGTTGGAGCTGAAATACGACGAGTCGGCGTCGTCACGGGAGACCGAACGCCCGATATCGACAGAGGGGTCCCACTCCAGCCCCAGGTGCTCATGGGTAGGCGAGGACGGAGAGGGAGGAGGAGGAGAGAGGTGAACGGGTGAGGGTGGCTCTGAGGAGAAGATGGAGGAAAAGTTTGATTATTGATTGAATTCTTTATTATTGATCTAATATCTGTATTTAATACCTTTAGCTCCCTCTTCCTCTAACAGACTCTCTGAGGGGCAACCAGAGTCTGTACCCAGAATCCAGTCCTCCTCAAACACCTGGAGGAGGAGGAGGAGGAGGAGGAGGAGGAGGAGGAGGAGGAGGAGGGAGAGGAAGAGGGAGAGGAGGAGGAGGAGGAGGAGGGAGAGGAAGAGGAAGAGGAAGAGGAGGAGGAGGAGGAAGAGGAAGAGGAAGAGGGAGGAGGAGGAGGAGGAAGGGGAGGAAGAGGAGGAGGACGAGGAGGAGGAAGGAGAGGAGGAGGGGGAGGAGGAAGGGGAGGAGGAGGAGGAAGAGGAGGAGGAGGAGGAGGAGGGAGAGGAAGAGGAAGACGAGGAGGGAGAGGAAGAGGAGGACGAGGAGAAAGAGTAAGGGGGGGAAGAGGAAGAGGAGGAGGAGGAGGAGGAGGAGGAGGAGGGAGAGGGAGAGGGAGAGGAAGAGGAAGACGAGGAGGAGGAGGAGGAGGAAGGGGAGGAAGAGGATGAGGAGGAGGACGAGGAGGAGGAAGAGGATGAGGAGGAGGACGAGGAGGAGGAAGAGGAGAAGGAGGACGAGGAGGAGGAAGAGGAGAAGGAGGACGAGGAGGAGGAAGAGGAGAAGGAGGAGGAAGAAAACAACAATAAATGAAAAACAAGATGTCGTCAGTGTTAAAGTTAAACTTATTTTGTTTCCATATTTAACAATGTATACCAAAAAATAACTACTTTCGTTAGTTAGGTAACGGAGCTACTGTACAACAACAACAACAACAACAACAACAACCATATAAATGAGCCTGTAGAATAAAAAATTTAATTAAATAAATAAAAAAGAATACAATTCTGAGATAAAGACTGTGTTCATTTTAAAAGTTTTCTTTCACACTTTAAAATCAAGGCGTTACGACCACCTGTGAAGCGATGGCGCCCCCTAGTGGAAGATCCACTGGTGTAATGACCTTTAATGTCTCCAAGAATACTTCAAGAAATTAGAAGTTAGTTTTCATGTTAATTAATCTTTTAAGTCTTATTGTAAAGTTACGTTATTATTGGGCTCATTGTTTTTTATTTTAAGGTTGGAGCTTTTATACTGAAAGGGTCACTATTTTTCACTAAAATCTTTGTATAAATAAATAATCGTTGTGTACCAGTCTCATGCTCAGCAGTCGGGTGTGTGTCCGTGCGATGTTGTTGTAGACGAGGCTGCAGCGGCGCAGCAGCTCCAGCAGGCGGCGCTCTACGTGCTGAGCGTCCGTCGGTTGGCTGCGCTGGATCAACGCCTCGCCGCGCTGCAGGAGGGCGTTCACACGGCCCGAGTTCACGCACACACACTGCTGGAAGGACTGAAAACACACACACACACACACGGTGAATATATCACTGTCACACACACACACACACACACACACACACACACACACACACACACACACCTGGAGGCGTCTCAGCTTCTCGCAGGTGTTTCCTGTCAGGTGATCGACGTCGGACAGACGGACGTCCAGGTCGGCCAACCAGAGAGCGAGCTCCTCCCTCTCCGCCTCGAACTCCTCCCACTCCGACACAAAGAGCTGAGAGAGAAACAGTCGGTTAACGCCTGCAGTCTTTATCTAACGGCCAGCAGGGGGCGACCCCACTGATTGCAAAAAGAGGTCTGATAGTATCGAGTCTTATGAGAAATGAGCTGACTTCCGACTTGATTTATGAGCTCAGTAAACAAAAACAATACAGTAAAAACACAAAAAAAAACAAAATACAAAAACAATACAGCAAAAATAAAAAACATGAAAATGCACAAAAACACGTTAAAAATCACAAAAATTACAGAAGAAATACAATAAAAACAGTTTACGTTTTATTAGGAGGAATTCTGACCTTCAGTCGCCCGGTGATGGATTCCAGTTTGGTGTTCACGTCGTCCCACCGCCGCCCGCACTCCCTCGCCGACGCCAGCAGCCGAGCCTGCATGGCGCCCTGGAACAGCCGAGTCAGCGTTCGATTCCTCCGAGACAGATCGTCCAACTGGACAAGGCGACCTCCCGCCTCGCGCCGCAGTCGCTGAAAACAACAAGAGCAAGAGGACTTCATTACCCATAAATCCTGTTGGGCAATAAATAACTTTAAAAAATCAGTTTTTTCTTCTGTTGAGTCCTGATACTCAAAACTAATTAAACTTAAATCAACGTACAAAATGTGTGCAGAGAGTTTGATAATAGTTGGGCTGTAACTAACAACTTTTTGTCCATTCGCTATCATTCAATCTATTAATTAATGAATGAATCTACATATTAATCAATTAATCCTGTTCTTTGAGCCAGAAAATAGTGAAAAATCCTTTTTATTGGCCCAAAATATTCAGTTTATGATCATATTTGACAAAGAAATGCATTTAATCCGAAGAGATCACAAAATGAGGATTTCTCCCTGAAAAAAAACAAACTATCAATTATCAATATTCCTCTTCTGTCAATCCACTAATCAATTAATTGACTTATCGGTGCAGTTACAGTCTCACTCTACTCACCTGGAGCTTCTACTTAAACATTAAAAACTGAGATCCCAGGACAGACTGACGTATATTGTATATTTTTATACAAATAAAAAGATAAATTAATGTTTTACATTCGCCGAATTTACAAGTGGAGACAAATAATTCAGAATTGTTTCACAAAGTTTATAAAGTTTCTTCAGATACAAAAACCCAAAATCTTTTTTAGGTTTTTTAGATTTTTTAAGGGAGTCTGGGGCTAATTTGACACTATATGAGGATGAGGATAATAAGAATATATTAAATGTACCAGATGTAAATGTAAAGGCGAGATCTGACCAGATAACGCGTTTATAACATTAATAACTAATGTGAGCAACTCATTTATACACAGAGTCGCCTACACCGGGACAAATGGACATATAATGGAATATTTATTTATACAAATAAAGGAATAACTTATTACATTTGCCGAATTCACCAGAGGGGGCGTATAATTAAGAATATGTCGTAGAAAGAGTTACACAATGTTTATAAAGTGTCCTCTGACAGAAAAACTGCAGTCTGGGGCTGATTTACCACAACCTCAAACGCCTCACGCACAGGCTTTTAAAAAAGGCATTTTAATACCAGGTGTTCTTTATATTTATGTTTAGCTTTGCAGATTTTTGTGCTCGTTCCTCGGCTGCACCAACCAGCAGTGACTGATACTGGAATAAAATCCTCCTGTGTGTGCCGGAGCTGCAGAGGAAGATTGGTGTGGATCAGATTTCCCAGCAGTGACCGAGCTGACAGCAGAATTTCATTTGGACAAACGAGGAGAATCTACAGCTGCTCAGTCGGTCGGGGACGGACGCTCCCGCTCAAACTTACTGATTTAAAACGACTGGATTTACACATCAGTGCTGCGGCTTTACGACCGGCTGACAGATATTTACGCTCGCCTGGATTATGTCTTTAACCCACCACTGAACTTTAGCCCGACTGCACTCTAACCCCGGTTGGTCTTTCTCTGACGGCGCCGCCACAAAGAAAATATATGAACACTCTTTAAAATTTAAAAAGATACGAGGTTTTAATGAATGATTAGATAGAAATTAGAGTTTGCTTCCTTTATTTCCTGTAAAAACAAGCAGCTATGAATAGATTCTTTTGGCCTAAATTGTTAAAGTAAATTCATCCTTGGGACCAGTAATCTCTCAGTTTCCTCACCTCAAACCTCCTCAGTTCCTCCTTCGCAGTGACATAGGTGACGTGGGCGGGGTTATGGGAACTGACAGTCTGCTCGGCCAATCGCAGCCAGGCGTCCAGGTGGGCGTGTTCTTTCATAAACTCGTGCCAGAGGACCCACCTCCTCTCCAGCCTGGAAAGACAGAGAAAGTCAAACAGCTTTTTACCAGAATTAGGTCCCATTGTTAGGACACTGGGATATTCAGGCCCGAACAGACCCGAGCCCGAACCATGGCAGCGGTTTTGGGACACAACCTGAACCCAAATGTTTAATAATAATTTAAACGGTTTATTTCAAGCTTGTATGCAATATTATCTCATACGAATTACAGCAGTTTCGGGCCCGGGACCCGAATTTCTGTTTAAAAACAAGCTACATTGTGATTATTATATTTGTATATAAGGAAAACTATTATAAAAATGAATAAGTAACAGATACAGTCATATGCATTATTAATAAAATGTTAAATATATATTTTTAAAATGAGCCCCGACCTATCAGCATCAGTTCGGGGCCTGAACCAAACCTGAATTTACGCTTTAAAAAAAAATTATAATAATTTAAATAGTTTATTAGAAGCTAACGTAAACTACATTGTGAATATTATATATGAGAATTATTAGAAATTTTATTTAAAACAAACAAATAAATACAGTTGCAATATTAATAAAAAAATTAATTTATATATTTTTTTAAATTCAACGCCGTTTATTCGTCTTTAGTGTCCGGCATCAAGAACTCATGAGGATCCGTCCACTCACTGTCCACATCCCTGCAGGTCTTCATCCTGGTTCCAGCTGCCGTCCTCCTCTTCATCCTCTTCGTCCTCCTCCGGCGGAGACTCGGTCAGATCCAGAATCAGCTCCACATCCATCACTTCCTCTCCGTCACTTCCTGAAGAGGGCGGGTCTGCTGGGACTCGGGGCATCCTGACATCACGGGACCTTCACCTGCTGAGGGACGCGATAGAGACTTTATTTAAAGTAATTTATTATTATAATAATAATAATAATACTATAATAATGTTTTTATACACGGTCCTCAGTTAATAAAGATGAATTTAAAACAGGAGAGGTACCAGGGCGCCCTGAAATCTGAATCTGAATCTACTCTTTAATTTTCTGATGTTGATGTTTTTCATATTTATTTGATAGTGATTTTTTTATTTTGTTGAAAAAGATTAAAGAGACATTAAAGTTGTAAAATGTGTCACTCTGCAGACATTTTGTCATGTTTTTTTTATCAGTTTGAGGTCATTGATGTTTAGTTGATATTCTGCACTCAATGCTCCTCAAAGTCCAATGAACTTATAAAGTCTAGTCATAGATGAAAACATGAACATGTGCTCCATTATACTGTAGTACCGTAGATTGATAGGCGTATTCTTCATTAGTTTGTATTATTATTATTATATTTCATATTTAAATTAAAAATGTGAAAGTTTTAGGTTAGTTTTTATTAAACTTAATTAATTTTAGTGTTTTTTAATCACAATATGGGGCTTATGTGATAAATTGTGTTGACATGGACTAAATTTAAAGACATTTCCTGCATATTTGTATATCAATTAAGTTGGTTTTATAAGTAATTTTTAATTTTCACTTTAGTTTTAGTGAACAATAACTAATAACTGGCTGCACATTCAACCCTGGCGGACGTCAACATTTAAACAAAACCAACTTCAACGTGTTTGAGTCTTTGCTGCTGGAGGAAAGCAAACAAATCCGAAATCCTCCGAGCAGAGAGACCTCGCACACACACACACACACACACACACACACGCACACGACACACACACAGATTTACATGAGCGAGGACAAATCTTTCATTCAGTGTGTCGCTCTCGCTCTGTGTGTAATTATCTCCTGATTTACAGACGCAGCAGCTGATCTCACAGCCGACGCTCCTTTGAAATCCTCCGTCCACAACAAAACGTTTTACACGCCAAAGTAAATAAATAAATAAATAAATAAATACAGCTTTTGGAAAACGTATTGCCGCTCACACGGAGACACTGTGGTCATTAATGTTTCACACTGCAGAATCCATGTTGTTGGTTGAAAACTGAAGATATTTTGAGGTTTTCTTGTTGTTTCAGTGCTGATGGATGTGAAAATCAAGCGTTAACCTCTGCGGCTGCAAATGACGCCAACACTGAAGAAACAAGAACCTGCAGTTCCTCTAACAGCCACTAGAGGCTGGCTCCAGCAGTGAGTCAGTCTCCATAAGGCTCCATATTAAACTGCAGAATAAATTAAATTAAATTATATTAAGGATTAAAGTTATTAATAATTTGTTGTTTGACGACCAGAGAGACGAAGAACACGCCGCTCTGATCCATAATCAGCTTATACAGTAGTTATTGTTAATGTGAGTTTATCTTCATTTTAAAACACTTCTATCTCCTCCTCTTCCTTCCTCAGATCAAAAACACTTGTGTGTGTGTGTGTGTGTGTGTGTGTGTGTGTGTGTGTGTGTGTGTGTGTGTGTGTGTGTGTGTGTGTGTGTGTGTCTCTCCACCTGAGATCTTCCAGCCTCTCAGACTCATAAATCAAGCGCTTCCTCCTGCCCCACAGGAGGCTGATCAGGCCAAGGCCTCATCCTCCAAACTCCCACCTGGGGACTCTGTGTGTGTGTGTGTGTGTGTGTGTGTGTGTGTGTGAGTGTGATGTGTGAGTTACGAGGTCGCTGTCTGTCTGCATCAGTGAGGCTCTTCAGTCCCAATATGTATTGTTTTTATTTAAGGATCAATCACTTTCATTAGTTTAATAAGTTTTAGAAACAATAAATTAAATAATCGCATCATTTAATTTATAATAATAATAATAATTAAATTTATCAGATCGACTTCAGATTTGGCGAGTACATTCTTAAAACCTCCAGGATTAAAAGTTGTGCTACTTATGAGTTTTCAGTGAACGGCGTGGCGTACCCGTGGCGTGGCGTCAAAACTCGACATTTTGCCATACAACAGCTAAAAGCTAACTAAAACAATTTTAAAAAAGCAGCCCCGGCGTCCCGTTTCACTGATATGTATGAAAATCGGTACTCACGTGTATCACTTAAAGATTCACAAAAAAGCCTCTTGGAGCCAAATCCTAAACCCAACAGGAAGTCGGCCATTTGGAATGTAATGTGCAATTTTGGCGTCCTTTTCACCGTTTGTATTTTAATGAATTCCTCCAAGAGAATTCATCAGATCGACTTCAGATTTGGAGAGTTCGATCTAAAGACCTTCACGGTTAAAGGTCGTGATATTTGCTAGCTTTTGATGAATGGCGTGCTCGTGGCGTGGCACCTAAAAAAAACGTTGTTTCCCCGTGACACAGAAACCCTGAACACATCTACATTCACATATTCAGTCATACTTATAACTGGGAACAGGAAGTAAACCAGGAGTGTGTTCATTCACAGATATCAGCTGATAGAAACAAACACACACACACACACACACACACACACACACACACAGTGTCTGTCCTCTTCTGCCCAACAACAATCGACTTCCTCCTCCACAGACAGACAGACAGACGAAGACATTTACCACTTCAGTCTCCAGAGAACAAACATTAATATGAACATCTGTTGAACATGTGCACACACACACACACACACACACACACACACACACTGCAGTTTCCCCAGTGAGCTGAAAGTGTGAATGGATCTGTCGATGAGTCACCAGCTGCTGCAGCTCAGGGCTGAATAACACTGTAACACACACACAGACACAGACACACAAAACAACACACACAGACACAGACACAACACACACACACACTATGGATTTTATTTTTTCATTCATTCTTTGACTCTTAACTTCAGGTCTCTGTTGAGGTATTAAAGAGTCCTGATGAGGAAGGTCACTGAGTTCTTGTCCTCTCTCTGTCTGAGCAAATATGAAAGGATGATTTAATTATAATAAAATAATAAAGTTTTCATGTATAGTCGATTATAAATGAACCAAACTCTTAAAGTGGACCAACGGGAGAGAGACTGAACTGGATTAAAGATCATTTCTATATTAAATGGAACTAAAATAATGTTTCTAGAGCCGCAACAGTAAAGTTTAGATCATATAAACTCAACAATAACTCAAACAGATGTATTATAATGTATATTCGGTGCATCGTCACTCATAAAACGATGGTTTCATGTGTGTGAAGGTGTGTTTTAATCTTAATTTCTGGTTAAATAATCCCGTCTATCACTGTGTTAGCATCCTATTATAATTCATCTTCTATAACCGGACTCGTTACGCTGCTGCCGGTGACGCCACCGCTGTTTTATAACCACCACAGAGGAAGTTCCCTCCTCGCTGCCGCTCTGCGCAGTTCCCCAAAATGTCAGACTGTTCCTTTAAACTGCCCCAGAGTGAATGCAAAGCATCAACAGGTCTGTGTCTGGTAGTTTTCCATGAAGAGGGAAGATTTGAATAACACACACACACACACACACACACACACACACACACACACACACACACACACACACACACACACACACACACACACACACACACACACACACACACACACACACACACACACACACACACACACACACACACACACACACACACACACACACACACACACACACACACACACACAGACACACAGACACACAGAAACACCAGCTGAGCCAGACAGACAAAAAAATAAAAGATCCCTTCGATGGTATTGGACAAACGAGCTGGCAGCGACGTCTGATTGGCTGCAATGATTGACGCTTTATCATCATATGATTACTGAGTGTGTGTGTGTGTGTGTGTGTGAGACCTCTGTGACTTTGATAACCATCTCAGAAACATCTGAGTGGACGAATGTTTCCACTGTGTGTCGACGTATTAAAGCTGCACAGTTTGAACAATCTGCTGTAAAGCTTTATGGTTCAGTGCCGGAGCGACGAGGGCTGAGGACCTGGTGGCGGTGGCGGCGGCGGCAGAGATGTTGTTTTTCTGGTGCTCTGGGGTTTGATGTGACGATTGGTGCATTTATAATGTCAGTAAATAAAAGGTTAAAGTTCACAAGCCTGCTCACGTAAACACATAAATTAATTAAAAGTTCACACTGGAGCTTCACAATTAATCCAGATATTAACAATATGTTTTAATAAAAAAGGTAAATGAGCAGCGTTATAATGACGAACTGTAGAGCTGCAGAGAATCTGATTAATTAATCTTTACACACACATATTTGTTTGTATATTAAAGTTTAATACTGTTAATTCATTTAGAAAATCATATAAAATTACAGTATAAAGTATTTGTGTAATTTTAATGTATTAGTTAGTTAACTGACAGATATGTTGAAGAACTACTATAAACTATAAATGTTGTGTATCAGTGTATAAGCATTGGTAAACTGTCCAAATACAGTTGTTATCAGTGTAAACAGCAATAATTACTGTAATCTCACAGATAATGACTTTTATTACACTTCTATAACTTTTAACATTCACATTAAAATAATAACAATCCAATAATAACAGCACTCTGCTGTAAATGTTAGTCTGATTATTGTATTATAGCAGAGTTCACCTGGATTTATAGAGCACTGGTTTTATTGTGTAAATATCTTTAATTAAACATTAAAAAGATAAACACAATCAAAGCTAAAAAATGTATTTTAATAACAGTTACAGTTATTTTCTGTTATTTTACAGTTATTTTCTGTTATTTTACAGTATTATTTTGGCATCCAGCTGCAGGAATATGACCATTTCTCCTTCCTCGGTCCAGATGTTTGATACCAGCACATTTCTCTACATTACATAATGTTTAATGTCTCTGCAGCCGGCGGGAACCAGAGGAGGAAGCTCATCTATTAAGACTCGTCCCCTCTGAGCTGATGAGGATATCACCTCCTCTGCTGTCGGGGCAGGAGACGAAGCAAAGTCGCGTTATTAAGATTAAGAAAGTGTCTTTTTGTTGGAGCTGATGTTGATCTGG